ATACTGCATATGCTCAAAGAGAACTGATTCAGATGGCAGAGACAACCTTAACCCTGCTATTCCCTAACTTTTAAATGTTTAATTTACCAATTTAGCATTATTCTGAATTGTTTTTCTGGCTTTAATGCAATTTCTAAGTTTCTAACAATAAAAACTAAAACAACTAATTGCACACATATTGACCCCCAGATGAGTTATCAGCAAGTTTACTTGTAATACCACAAGACATACCTCTGCCAGTAAGCCTGAGCTATAGCTGCATGAGGGTGAAATCCTCCGTGGGTGTACCTACATGTGTACATTTACTGCACAATAACCAAAAGTACTATGTAGTAACCGAAAATTACTGAGCAGTACAGACATGCGTCTATACATGCACGCCCATACTTGGGTGTAAATTTGATACCTGCATCATGCAGGTGTCAAAGTTATGCCTGATTAGTTACTGCGCAGTAACACACATGTAGATGCCTTACTGCTCAGTAACACTCTGTATGTGGACAGACTTGGGACTAATGTTAGTCCCAAGTCAGCCCACACACAGTATTACTGTGCTTTAATGACTGTACATGTAGACACCGGCCTAAAAACTGGTTACTGTGCAGTAATTTACTCTGCAGTAAATTTAATGCAGTGTAAATGCATATGTAAATGCACCCTGTGTGGACAAGTCACTACAGTGACTGGGGGAGCTTTGTCAGTGGACTTCATCATTATTTGCCAGACATCAGAATAATGATGGGATTCCTAAGGTTCTATTCCAAGTTCTAGAGGAGCGTGCTAGTGGTTGCAACCCTTTTGTCACTTTCCCTTATTATGTGTCAACCCCTACAGAGTCAGACTACACAGTTTCATCATCCCGCTCCAAGCTGCCTCTGTTCCTCTCCTACTTTCCTCCTATTAATCTGTATTCTCTGCAATCCTTCTTTTTACTCCCCTGTCCCCAGTTCATTGTACCCAGGCTCTTTATGCCTCTACATTCCTCCTTTTCCTCTAACCTGCCTGGTCAAATCAGTCAGACCAACGTGAGCACACAAGAGAGTATGTCCCTTGGCTAGATTTGGTGAGAAACTGGTGGAGGTAGTTAGTTAACCTTGTAGTCTGAAGTCAGTCAGAAGGCAGGATAGATATGCACCTTTATAGACTAACTGGATAAGATATAAATAGAGCACAACGTTTCTTGAACCAAAGTTCACTTCATCAAATACTGTGAAAAGACATGCAGAAAACAGAGTATAAATAAGAGTGAGAAATTAGAATACAAATACAATTGAGCAGGGAGAGGGAGGGAGATTTGGTTGGACTTTCACAATGACAGTAAAAGACACGTTTAGCACCAGGGAATTATCCCTGCCAAATTTCAAATCTGTATTCTGAAGAGGGCTTCTAGATCCAGTCAATACAATAACTGTATGACTATAAATATGGGCAAAGCAACAGTTTTCTTTAACCTCATTCCTAACCATTTTGCTTAGTCTTTGTAAAAGAAATCAGTCTGAAGCAAACACTCAGCCTAGACTGAATTTCAGTCTAAGTACTTAAACTCTCACAAAATTATAAGCAACTAAATTTGGCATCTCATCATGGAAACTTTCAGGTAGCTTTAATTAAAAAGCTCTACCTAAAATATTTTATAGTGCTTTCTTTTGAACATACCAAGCTTCAATTGACTACCATCTCAAGAAGAGGGCTACCAAATCAATCTAATGTAAAATATCATGTATTTAGTCCTTAATCATAAGATAACATTTTACATTTCACAATTTCTTGCAGGCTTACAAGTAATATTCCTTTGTTCATCACAGCATATAAGAGAAACCTTATCTTAGCCATGAAGAAGTTGTGGGAGGACAGATGCAGGGTTTCTATATAAAGGACTGTCATCTTTGAAGAGAAATAAAGCAGCTCTACATTTCAATACAAAGATCATTTCCAATATTCATAAAATGCAACTACAGGACCAAGAAAAATATCTTAAACATTAAATGCTTGGAAATCACTTACGAACAGTTCATATATCCTAAAGATGTAAATCTTAGGAAGAATACCTTAGGTTCAAGGCAACCAAGGTTGGAGGTACTGTACATTGTAACTCTCAGCCAGAGAAGACAGATAACTATTTTGGCTCATATTACCAGTGATGAGGCTATGTCTAGCACTGATTTTCTACAGATTCTACAATCTTGGCCTATACCAAAACTTTCAGCTTTTTTTTACCATATATCATTCATCATGGTTTTTTTCTTTTCCTTTTAAGCATCCTAGGTCACATACTTTACACTGCTAACAGTCTGTACTTTTGGACAAGTGAGAGACCATTTATTTTCTTCAGGACTCCTTTTAAAATTTCTATTGTGTCCTTTTTTGTTTCACTGAGTTCCCTAAAGAATAACCTCTTCCTTGCTTTAATAACTTGGACTTCGGTCAAGGTTGATGTGTTTCTCCATTTTGCAGGATATTTTCTCCAGAAGAGACAAAACAGTGTCTAATATTGCAATGAATGGTTTTAAAGGGTGCAGTTTAAAGAGGAAATCACAAACAGTAAAGGGGGAATAAAAGGTAGGAAGTAGCTTTTAAGAAAAGAGAGGCAGCAGCAGAGAAGAACAGCTTGAACTGAACCCAACAGTGAGATTTTGCAGGGAAAGGGATGCCTCTTCCTTTCTAGTCAGAGGACTGTCTGATGTATTTCATATATACCTCAGGCAAGGATTGCTGTATACTCATTTTACTAGTCCAGGCTGACAGATGGTTTACTACAGTACTATCTTGCAGCTCTAACCTTCAGATACAATTCATGAATGAGATTTAGAACCAGATCAGCAGTGGTTTATCATGCAATACCAAAACCAACCTACACACAATACCATGCGAGATAGAGGCAGTTCCTTAAATAGAAGGGTGACTTGGGAGTTTCAGTTTTAAATATATATACTTGAAAGCTGAACTTCTTTCAGTCTTTACAACTTCTTCTTGTGAAAACAGTCTTGTAGTTTGAAACTTTGTAACACCTGGAGACATCTTACAAGTAGGAGGTAACACTCTCACTTAGAAGTGGGTAAGGGTAATTCATGACTCTCACTCACCTTATTTGGAACAATAGGTGACCTTTGGCTTTGTCCTGACAGGGATCAAAAGATGATTCATTTGAATGTGTTAACTAGCACCTTCTAAAGATCTGGTGTGGACAAGGAAAGCTAAGCTGTACTTCAGCCCACATTAGCCCATCAAGTCAAAGTCCAAGCTCTCCCTAGTCTTCAACTGGGCCAATCAGCCACCGCTAAAGAACAACTTGCTTTAACCACACTTGATTTTAAAACAGATTACTTATAAAGTGCTATCTAACATGCTAAAATCACACACCTTCTTTGTCTTAATCAAGACACTTCCTTTGATATTCTCTGTTCATTTCTCCTTGGATACCATCTCTTAAAGCCTGCCCTGTTTTGGAAGGGCAGGAAGGGTTATATTTTCTATCAACTCTAGGACAGTACAAAAGACCCTTTCTCAAAATCTCTCACTCAACATAGTCACTGTCTTGCCAACAGGAAAGGAGGGAGAGACACACTGACCCTATAAGCACCACACCCTGCATCTCTGCCACCCCACCAATGTCTCTGATCTGCAGTGCTTCCAAGGGGGGCTTCCTGCCTGCCGAGTAACAGGAAGCCCATACTGGACAAGCAAAAAACAGGCCAGAGCTCTTTCCCTGCAGGTGGGAGGGGGACAATGGGTTCAAGGAAGGAAGCCAGAAATGATGGGAGGAGCCAGGAAAAGCAGGGACAGAGGATGTAAGGCCTAGAGAAGGGAAAACCATGAAAAGGAGAGAAAGAAAAAACGGTATGAAAGGGAGAGTTAGATTAAAACCAGAAAAGGAATAAAGGAATGGAGAAGAGAAGGTAGCATAGGAGGTAGTATAACATTAAAGCATGTCCCATGTCCCCCTGCCCTGCTGTGTCATAGGAATGAAGACACCTGATGCCTAATTCTGGGGAAGACTGATTGTGGCGTGAGCTGGAAAACACGGACCAGGGCTGGATTGCCCACGCTTTAGCTAACTAAAAGGACTAGAAGGCAGCAGTTTGCTCCAGTCATGGGAAGTCCAGTGTGTACACGTGCATATACACATGCATCCAAGCATTCACACCCATCTTCCCAAGCAGGGGAGACCCATTGTGGAAGGGTTCACAACTACTGTACAGAAAAGAGCAGGTTTCAAAACTGCATAGGTTATTGTCAGATGAGGAGCATACCACCTTGCCACAAGGAGGACTTAAAGTCTTTAATATAAAGCATGATATTTTTAAGGTATATTCTTATGAAATCACACAAGCTCTGTAAGCATTCATCATTCACTCTCAAGGATTTTTAATTAGTCCCATCCTTCACTCCCAGGTTTAATTAAACTGTTAGATCGGAGTTAGGGCTTTGCCTATAAAATTAATCTCTCATATCCATGTTGTATATTTGGGTGCTTATGGCTAGCTATGATATAATTAGATAGGTTCTCACAATCATGTTATCCCAACCTAAATTCAAATATTTGTAGTCTATGACTCGGAAAAGTCTTGAATTAAAAGCTGTTATGTATCTGGTACCCCATATGTGTACCCTACAATGGAGATCACTCATTTGGACATATTAAAATAGTCAAAATTCTGAAACCAATGTATTGTTCTCCAGGACATTCCTTTAAAAGATAAATAGCAAGTTACTTTAAGAAAACACTGCTATTTCTTCCCCTTTGACTATCTTAAAGTGTGAGAAAAAATCTGATATAAAAATCTTAGAAGGCATAAACAGCAGAGCTGCAAAACCCTTACTAGTGTAGTAGACTTAATTTTTTACATAAAAGATCAACATCTTAAGCTACAAACAGATGATGACCCATCATTCAGATAGGATGGGGGGGTTTTGTGCAAGTGACAGCATGCCAGGCATAAGAAAATTAACTAATAAAACTACACTGTGGTAGAAGATTACAAAATAATGAAAGACCTTACCCCTTTAATGTGGATCCCAAGTTCATTTGATTCCATGTCATGCATTCAAGCTGCGAGGTCATTTGGTATAAATTGTCACTGTTATGAAAATATCTAGAATTAGAACTAAAATGACTTGATCAAATTAAAATAATGTTTAAAATAGCAGCAATATTTTCATTTTTCTTTTTAAATGTATCTTTAAACAGAACAGTCCCAAGAAAATGTATTTTATGTGAAATCTTTTATTGGTTTGTGGTATTCATTTTTAAGAGAAAGAAAAAGAATGTCTTAAAAAGGAACAGGTATTCTTGCTAATCCACTAATTCGTAAATTGCGAATGGCTGGAAGTGATGCACAAAAAAGCTCTCTCTGGAAAAAAGTAGGCTTGGTTTCATATCTTAATTGCACAGAACATCAGCTATCCCGATTTGTAGGTTACACAAGGCAGATTATTTGTTTAAAAAAGAAAGCAAATCAAGTAATTGTTTTAATCAAGAGTGTAACGGATCGTGTGGTTAATGGACCGAAACGACTATCGTGACTAGTGATAGATGTTGCTACACATAGTGACTTGACAAGAGGGGGGGAAACGAAGTGGCTGAACAACAAATCAGTCTCACAAGTGGAATTGTTGTAAAACGTTACGATCTTGCAACAAAGAAAACACTATTACTGATCTCCAATTGGTTATTTTTCTATTTTGAAACCAAAACCCGTTTTTTGGTTTGTTTGGGGTTTGTTTGAGGGAGGGGGCGGGGGGTGTTTGCTTTTCTTTGTTTGTTTGCTTTTTGGAGACATCAGCTATAACCAAAAAAAATTGAGATCCCAAGCTCAGACATATTATACTGCTCCACACTTGACCCGCAAACAGCTTCAGATCCTGGAATCGGCGGGCTGGAGGGGACCGCGAAGGATCGTCGGGTCCAGATGAGGCAGTTGAGGTGAGTGAGGTGAAGCGAAAAAGAGAGAGTTAGCTCGGGAACTCGAGTCCTTGTTTTTCCGAGGTTTCTCGGCAGCAAGAAGAGAGCGTCACTATGCAGCCACGGCTGATCAGATGCTTTCCATCTGCACAGCACGTCCCCACGGACTCCTTCCCTGGAAAAGCTCTGTGGAAAGGCCCGTCTGGGATTTCAGGTTTCTGGCCCTATACATTTCCCCCACCCCGTTTGTGCGGAGTCCCGCCCGCGCCCGGGGTCTTCAGCCCGGCCCAACAGGTTCGGCGATGGATGTAAGTGCCAGGGACATAGCGGCTCGCAAGAAACACGCAGGTTGCCCGCTTGATTAATGACAGGCTAGACTTCTGTAGCGATCTGATATCGTTTTGTTGAAACGGGTTGGTTTTTTTCACGGCAGGTAGAGGCGATCTAGCAAAATCAGTTTCCAGTGGGAAGCTTTGGCGAATATAAAAACAAATTAAACGACTCCAGGCTCAGAGTATGCCCCATGCCATTTCGTCAGCGTGGCTGGACGCTATTATTCATCGGCGCGTCTGCCTGGCTATTATGCTCCTGCCACGTCCCGCCGGCCGGCTCCGGGAGCGCGCGGCTCTCCCGCCAGGCCCAGGGCAGGCCGTGCCGGGCGGTGCCGCGGCGCTCGCAATCCGCGAATTCTTCCCCTAACGCTGCTGTAATGAAATCCTCCAGGACCCGGGGCTGGGGGGTTTTATTATTATTATTAGCAGAGCCTGCCCGGTGCATTTCCAGCGGGAGATTTCCCTTGGACTTTCTTCCCTCTGACAGTTCATTTATAAGAGCCTCCCCCACCTTACCCACTGCCCTCCTCCCCCCGCGGGCGTTTCCAATAAGCGATACACTCAGTCATCTCCTTGTCACGGCTCGCGGCCGGCTGGGGTGACAGTGCCCGGAGCAGAGACCCCGACGGATCCCGCTGGAAGGCGCTTCACCGCCGCGGCGGGCCTGGGCTCGGGGGCTCCATGCCGCGGGGGCGGGCACGGACGGGGGCAGGAGGCGACGGCTCCTGTGAAAGCACCGCCACCCCCCACGACTCCCTGCGGGCTGCGGGGCAAGGGGGTAGGGAGTGTGCCAGCGGCTCCCCCGCCGGCAGCCTCGGGCAGGGGCAGCCTGGCTTCGCTCCGGACGCCCTTAGACGCCGGCCCTGGCCAGCACGCGGGGCTGGTGCATGGGTTCCCGGGCCCCCCCCCCCTCCCCCCGCCTCCCTGCTGGGCAGTGCTCCTCGTCTCACCCCGGGCAGGCTGGGCGCAGCGCGGGCCCCAAGCCGGCACCCACGCGGGCCCCAAGCCGGGACCCACTCCATCTCCGGCCCGGATCGCGCCCTGCTGTGGATCCCGCCGGCAGCCCTACGGGGGCGACACTAAGAAGACCTTCTTTTCCTGAAAGGGATGTTTGCAAAATGGGAGGGGGGCAGAGAGACCGCTCTGCGAGAGGGATTGATGTGAGCTGGAGGGGAATAAAAGGAAGTCAGCCCCGAGCACCAAATATATATATATATATATATATGGGGGGAACTTGAAAGGCAAGCAGTAGTAGATCACAGAGAGTTTGTTTTGGCCTGCGCCGCAGTATTACCGAGTTCCTGACCCCTGCCCAGCGAGAGCTATAATCTGAACCGAAACTCCTCCACTCTTTAAACCTCTGCAAGTGTGACTCACTGTAAATTTTCCGCGCTCAACATGTTTACTACACCGAGCAGCAAGAGGCAGGGGAGGGCTCCGCCGCCCCGCTGCAGCTGGGGCCCAAGCGCGGCCGCGCAGCGCCGCTGGCCCCGTCCTGGCCGCGGCGGAGACGCGGGGCGTCCTGGCAGAGCCGCTGCCTGTGCCACAGATCCACGCCAGACCGCTGTTTCCCCGATACGAATGATATTTATTCTGCATATTTATTTCGAGTCATCGCCTCTCGGACTCCCTCTCCCTCCTCGCAGGGCACAACAAAGCCACTTTACACTTGCCTACATATTTTCTGCTTCCTTCCTTGCTCCCTGCCTGCTACTAGTTTAAGGTGAATCGTGTTCCCGTATCTGGAAATCTGGGGGGCTCTTTTAAATGGGCTGTCACTGCTGCCATTTGGTTTGTCACATCCGATGTGTTCCTTGAATCAGACACTGATGAGTAGGTATCCTGGTTTTCTCTGATAAAAAAAATCCCCTATTTTCAGATTTAAAAAACCCAAATCCACACTTTTCCGTGATTAAAATTAAACACGTCTCTCTCGCTCGCTCGCTCTCCCTCTGTATAGATATATCTATACGTGTATAGATATATCTATAAATAGAGAGAAAGAGTGTGGCGTTTTATATATATATGTGGGGGGGGGGTGTATACACACACACATATATT